CCGCCACCGATTCACGTATTAACCCCTCAGATATGCCCGTAGGGGGGGGGATGTCATGAGGCAGCAGGAGGAGATGGTGAGAGGGTGGAACAAGTGATGCTTGGCAATAAATCAAGCCTGAAGAAGGAAGTGTGGGATTGAGAAGGATCAAAAGCTTGAAGGCAAACCTCCTTCCCATTCCACTACCCCTTAAGATTGTTGCTGTTCCTGAAGCAGGGTGTGCAGAAGATAGACTGGGATCCATGGGTAGATTGTCATATGCCCTCTTTTCTCAGGACACATCCTCTTTTTCATGGGCAGAGTCATCATAGCGCTTCATAGTTAAACGTAGAAGTCGACAAATGTGTCCTTTTTTTTTTTTTGCTCTTCAAAATATGGCAACCCTAAATAAATCCCTCTTTCAACAAACTTTCTAAAATAATTGTCCCAGTTGTTACCTGTCTTGGAACTGATTTTATTTTCCGTATGTGCTGTTGCTTTAAACTGTTTATATTTATATATTTTTAAAAATCATTTTTAAACGCAGTGGCGCTGTGGGTTAAACCACAGAGCCTAGCATTTGCTGATCAGAAGGTTGGCGGTTCGAATCGCCACGACAGGGTGAGCATCTGTTGCTCGGTCCCTGCTCCTGCCAACCTAGCAGTTTGAAAGCACGTCAAAGTTCAAGTAGATAAATAGGTACCGCTCTGGCGGGAAGGTAAATGGCGTTTCTGTGCGGTGCTCTGGTTCGCCAGAAGTGGCTTAGTCCTGCTGGCCACATGACCGGAAGCTGCACGCCGGCTCCCTCGGCCAATAAAGCTAGATGAGCCCCGCAACCCCAGAGTCATCCGCGACTGGACCTAATGGTCAGGGGTCCCTTTATCTTTACCTTTAAAAATTGTTTTAAAAAATGCAATCACTTTCATTATTTTTAGATATTTATCTGATATAGATAGATGATAGATAGATAGATAGATAGAGAGAGGTATTGTATAATATATAGTATTATAAATCACTTAGTGATGCCTCAAGGGAAGAAATTATAAATGACATAAATAACAGCAGCAGCAGCAATAAATAGATCTCTGCGTGATTTGCAATAGATCAGCATGGGTTTCTGACTCCACATCCTGGAGCATCAGATAGCAAAAACTAAAAAGCTTTTTCAACCCTTCCAAATTCAGTTGCTGAAAAAGGATGCTGGGGAGCAGAGGGGGAGCAGGAAGATTTGGCTCCACGGCCTGATCTTCCCCATTCCTGTTTTACAGCAATACCTACATCTTGTCCGGGGCTGTCTCAACCTGACTTGGCCCAAGCCCAGTTCCCCCCATGAATTGACCTGATTTGGTTCTGAATCTAGCACACAGGTTTAGTGCTGACGCCCTGACAAAATGCTATGAATTTAGTATGGCTCATCATTGCTAATGCTGCAAAAGCTTTGTGAAAGTGTAACATTAAAAGGCTTCTCTCTGGCATTCTGCTATTTGCTCAAAAGATTCTTTTGCACTTTGTCAAAAGCAGCAAGAAAAGAAGTGCCGTGTTGACTTGTGGAACAGCCATGAAGGCTGCTGGGAAAGGTCAAGATCATCCGCTAAAGAGCTGAGTCGCTGACAGCAAGCAGCAAAGACAGTGCAAGTTCTGCTGCTGCCATACATTGTACAGGTTGTCCAACGGTAGGAGCAGCTTACTAGGCGAACCGTGAAGAGTTGACTGTAGGAAAGAAATGTCCCTAAGGCTAAGGCTGCAATCCTACACCTAGTTACCCAGGATGAAGCTCCATGTGACTTAATGAGATTTACTTCTGGGTCAACATGTATAGGATTGCACCGACAGTCTCTCTTTGAATTATTCTCACCTTCTGGGTTGCACAGATGGCTGTCAGAGGTGTTGCCATTCTGCTGGCAATATTTCAAATTGTCTTCAGTGCCTCAAGTGGAAGCACTTAGTGGAAGCATAAATACTTGTCACTATAACCAAGAGGGGGAGCTGCAAAAATGTGTAGACGGAGCTGACAAACCTCCCTCCTCCATCATCTGCTCTCTGATGTGTGGTTATCCCTGCTGAGGATTAATGGGATGAGTCACGAAAGGGCTTTTACTGCTTGCGTGTCAGTGCAATGAAGAGGCTGGGCAATTGCCTGTACATCTGCAGAAGCAAACAGGGAGGGAGGCTTCGGAAAGTTGCTGCAGCCCTGTGGCTTGTGGCAGAAGGTGAGGAGGGTGATGCTGCCTGAGCGGTATCAGGGGTGTCACCCGACTAAATAAATCTTGCAGCACGACCCTTTGCACTTTTGTCTATTTAGATAGCCCCAGTGAGTTCAGTAGGACTTACTCTCTGGTAAGTGTGTATAGCAGGCGTGGGGAACCTTTTTCAGTCTGGGGGGCATATTACCTTCTGGCTGAATTTCAGGGGGCCGCTGAGTGGGGAAATAACAACAACAACAACAATGTTCAGTTGTGGGTGAACATATCAGACGGCACAGCGATTCTTCAAACAGCTCTCATTTATTCACAGGCCAGGACAGAACTGAACTGAAGGGTTCAGCCAGCCTGCTTATATAGAGCTCCACTAGAACGGAACAGTAACCATTTTCTGTAACTATCTAACCACTGAATGTCACTTTCGATCCCTTATTTGCATATGTGGACCTGAACTGTCTACAGTATCCCCCTGCTGGCCCAGGGTGAGAACTTCAGTACATAACAAATAAAGCAATAAAACATCAGACATTAAAAACTTCCCTAAACACGGCTGCCTTCAGACGTCTTCTAAAAGTCAGATAGTTGTTTATTTCCTTGAAATCTGATGGGAGGGCATTCCACAGGGTGGGTGCCACTACCAGGAAGGCCCTGTGCCTGGTTCCCTGTAACCTCACTTCTCACAGTGAGGGAACCGCCAGAAGGCCCTCGGAGTTGGACCTCAGTGCCCAGGCTGAACGGGGTAGAAATTAATAATAATAATAATAATAATAATAATAATAATAATAATAATTTATACTGGGCTGAAGCCATTTATAGTATGGATTAGCTTCAGTTACACCAGTACAAACTGTGCCTTTCACCAGTGGAGCCAATGCGTAATACTTTTCCTCAAAAGCAGGACACAGGAAGCCCCCCTTCCCTTGCTTTCCCTTGTATAACTGGTGGGCTGTTGTATCAGCCTTCCTAGTTTATTATGCTCCAAAACAGCCCTTAGCTTATGGCTGTAGAAGGGAGATAAAGGCTACCTTTCTCCAATCCGCCTGCCAAAGCTGCAAAAGCCCACCTTTTTGCCACACAGGATTTCCTCCGCTCTTAGTGTGTGTAGAATCACAGGATGTTTATGGCCCTTTAAGTTATGCTGCCTCAATCCCTTGATGTGGTACATTTCTCTTAAGAAAAACAGGTGCTCACAGTTCAAAGTGGGAAGCTTACAACCTGGACGGGAGATGCTCGAAAAAGCACGAAGCAGATGGCACAGAACATCCAGGGTCAAAATAGACAAAGCAGAATGCTAACAGCTGAGAGGGGTATTGGTACAGAAGCACACGGCCGTCAGAAACTAGCACTCGTTAAAAAAGGGAATCGCAAGAAGGCAGCCTGGTACTTCTCCAGCTAACAAGTTGGGGCAAACTCCATGCTTCTTGTTTCAATAGACTTGGCCAACTATGTGAATGTCACCCTCCTGTCTCTCTCTCTCTCTCCCTCTCTCTCTCCCTCTCTCTCTCTCTCTCTCTCTCTCTCTCTCACACACACACACACACACAACTTAATGTTGTATACAACAACTTAATGTTATGTACCATGATTGCAATCCTGTACAAAGTTAGGCGTCTCAAATCCCATTGACTTCAATTATCTTCATAGTTAGTAGGCTACTGGGCTTTAAGAGGTTTTATCTATGTGCAAGATTGCAGGCCTGTTTTTTATTTTTCTATATATTATAACTGACTGAGCAAAAAGGTTATGTCTCCCTCCAAGATACAAGACATGTTATGCTCCGTGACCTCATCAACTGCTGGCAAATTTGCACTAGACTCCGTCTCCAGTGAAAACTCTCAACCCTACAACCGTAGGGCATTGTCAGCAAGCATCACATCAAAGCAGCCTTTCAGAAATTGATATTGGCATTTGTTCCAATTTACACTAAAGGGACGCATCGTTTTGCTTTGCAACGTCTTACAAATTCATCTACGCAGAGATTAATCTACATGTAGGAAATTGTGCCTGATCTGTGCATTTGGGGGGAAACAAAAGCCCATGTCACAGATTATGTGTGTGGAATAAGGAGTTCTCCAGATGAGCCTGGGCTCAGGAGAGGTAAACTGACTGAAGTCCTTTATCCTGGCTGAGATGGAGATACTCTGGTGTAAGTCCTCTATCCCAGCTCAGCCAGTTCAGCTGGGACTCAGCCGAGGCTGGGGTAAATCCCTTAAAAGTGGTGTTATTAGGGTGTGGTAGAAGGAGACTTGCTATGATTTCACACTCCATTCAGTCTGGTCATGAGATCTAGCAAGCCAGCAGAAACAACATTGGCAAAAAGCTTTATTTTAAATGCTTATTTTCCCTCTGAGCTGAGCAAGGGTAAGACACATCAAAATAATTTACTCCCGTGTAAACAACACTGGCTTTCTATAGTTTGGATTGTGACCACAATCTCTGTAACGTTTTATTTCCATGGTTGGCGACTGAGGCTGAAAAGAAATTGCGGAAACACATACAAACCCCTGCAGCCAACTTTAATTTGTTTGACTATGTCAGGAAAAAGAATATACATGGAGTAGATGGCATCAGAGTTGCTTTGGGGATATTAATAATCTGGCCCTGGGGTTATAGACACTGTTAACACATTCTTCCAGAGAGCTGAGTCCACACACAACTTTCTCAAGAGTGGAAATGTGAAAGACTCCAAGAGATTAAGACTGAGATGTTTTTCAAGTAATTTCCCTCACCTGAATACTTGAGGAGAGCCATTTTCCTGTTGGTATAAGCTCCTGAGCTGGGGCCAGTCAAGCAAAATCTTTTATTAAATCTCTCACTAACCTTCCATTGGGGTATTATTGTCTGGTCGATTTGCAAAGACGACGTCCACATACTCAAGCTGCAGCCTCTGGAGAGAGCCTTTTAATCCTAGAGGTAAAATAAGGAAGCATTAGAAAGAGAGAGAGAAAAGAGAGATGACGACGTGCGGAACCCATGTCAAAGAATCTGATGACTCAAAAATATCATGGGCCTGAACCATCTTTAAATCTGCTCCAGAGATCAGTGACGTTATGTCTATTAAAAACAACCAAAGCATGAGTTTATGCAGAATTCATGGCCCTCCACATTTTTTAATTTTTTGAAAATCATAATTACATTGAAACTTGGATTGGAGTCGACAAGCATTTAACCACAGTATCCTCCTGCGCTTGTCAAACTGTAGCCTCGGGGGACAAAGCTGATAGCGCAGATTTTGTTTCACAGTACGCCTAATCAAAATCGTGTCAGAGTGAATTATTTTGCATACTCCGCCTCTCCCTGCAAGACTGCACTGGTATTGTTCCATGGAATTAAGCCCTGCCACTCAGCGAACCACTAGGATTTAAAATCTGGAGGTGAATCTGGCACTCTAATATACAGTCATGATTTCCAACCTGGTACAATGCTGCCGAAGGCAGATTCCAAACAGGCATCCCTGCAGCAGGGATGAGCAAACGCCTGTGAATTTTGATTTCTTTCAGTTTTCCAAATCTTAAGTTCAGTTCTTCTTCATTTCTTCGTCAGTTTGTGATTATTATTATTTTAAGTGAAAAAGGTCCTCCAGCAAATTCGCCAGCATTTTAGCACGAAATTCTCCCAGTATGTACATTTTGTGTATTACCTAATATGCATATTTTGGAAGCATGCGTTTCCCCAATGCAATGCATGAATGCTACTTTTACTTACCGTATTTTTCTGTGTATAACACCCCCCCGTGTATAAGACGCCCCCTATTTTGGGGGACTACAATTTAAGAAAATGGGGGGGGGCAGAGATGGCACAGAGTTGTTGAGCTTTGGGGGGGAGGGTTCCCTGAGCTTTTTTTGGGGGGGGCCAGAATGCCAATGATCACTCAACTGACTCACAAATGCTGAGAATCGCACTCATCAACAAAGCAAACAAGCGTCTGCCTGCTCGCCACCAGCAGCCAGCAATCACCCGCCCAATTGTCGCAGCAGAAGCCAATCAAAAAGATCCCTTGCTGCAGACTCCACCCACCCACCAAATTGCCGCAGCGACAGCCAATCCTAAGCAGCCCTAGCCGCAGACACCAAGCACCCACCCAATCACCAGTGACAAGCTGAAACAAATCGCCCGTCCCCACTCTGCACTATCCATGTATAAGTCGAACCCTGATTTTTAACATTCTTTTTGAGTAAAAAACCCTCCTTGTCTTCGACACGGAAAAGTATGCATTTTAATGCACAGTTTGCCATAGTATATGTATTTTTGTACACATTACTGGCAAAGTGGTTGTTCCATCCGGACAAGTGTTTTGGCTTGCCAGATGGAACAATCTCCCCTTCTCCTCCCCCATCCAATGTTCTGGGGGTTGTCTCCAAAGCCATCGGGGGTTGCATGGAGTAGGGGGGGGGTAAGTCCCATTGCCCTTACGCAGGGCTTCCACAGGCAGGACTCACTAGCTGCATCCTGCCTTAAGCGCACATCTGGTCTTAAACATGGACTCATTACATCTTAAGCCACTATTTCCTAGCTTCAGCTCTTTACTTGCAAGCAACTAAAGAGCAATGCAGGAATAGCAACATCATTGGGTTGTTGCCAACTATTCAGATTCACTGAACTTAATGGACATGATTCACTCAGACCCTCCAAGTGTCCCTATTTTCGAGGGACAGTCCCGGATTTACAGAAACCATCCCGGTTTCTGATTTGATCCCAGAATGTTCTGCTTTTCCTTAGGATGTCCCTATTTTCATCGGAGAAATGTTGGAGGGTATGTTAAGTCCACTCCTTTCAGTAGGTTTACTCTGAGTATACCTGAGCTGGGTAGAGCCCAAGGCTATTGCAATATTATGCCAAATGCAGTGTTTTTTTCTAAATAAATGTTTAGGGGTACTCTCATTTTCCTACTCATATTCAAATACTGCTCCTCAATGAGGCCAAACTTAGATTCACAAAATGTTTAGGGGTATGCGTACCCCTGCTTCCCCCCCCCCAAAAAAAGCACTGGCCAAATGTATTGGAAGCACTTTACCATAATAACACATTATCACATGCACACCAAGTATTTCTTATTCATACGATATACCTTCAACAATGTGTTTTCTTGAGAGTCCTCTTTCTGTTTCAGCTCTGCAAGGAGAAAAGGCATACATTTTCATGTGAACATTGTTGTTCCATACCCTTTGACTTACAAATGGGATTCTGCTGCGTCAAAAATAGTCTCATAGGACATTTCGCAAACAGCTAATACCTTTGGTTAAAGCAAACAACTGGCTATATTGAACAGGTATCCCAAAACAATTATCACACATTGGTAGATCCACTTGCGAGATATATATATATATATATATATATATATATATATATATATATAATGTTAACCTTGGCTTCAGCAACAGATGAATAATTCTACATGAACACTTTTACAATTCACAGTCCGGATCCTATGTGTATCACTGCATAGTTTGCCAGAGCAGAGAATTTGAATAGACCAGCCCAGTTGCAATGCGGATTCTCTCAGGGCTGATAGGTTAAAATTCTTAAGCAGAGCAGGCTCCCTAAATTAGGGTTGCTGAGTGCAGGGGTGGAGGAAGGGGTGTGTGGTGGGGGTGGACCGTCCCAGGTGTCTTTGCTGAGGGGGGGGTGACATTTGGCAGTCGCGAGTGGGCGGCGCGCCGAATGTCTGCCATCGGCAGCTCACTCTGCCCCCAGCTGCAGGGTGCACACGCCGCTCTGTGCACCTGAGCGGCTATCCTGCGCCTGGGAGGGCACCCTCTGTGCCCCACCCCCCTTGGGAGCGTGCCCACCCTGGGTAGTGCGGGCATACACTCCGCCGCTGACTGTGTGTCCTCCTTTCCCCAGACATGTCCTTCTTTTTCAGGAGTAAAATTTGGGACACATTCTATTTATTTGCTTTGAATGGCCATCATAGCATTGTCTTGTTTTGCTCTTCAAAATATGGCAACCCTACCTAAACGGCCTGGGTGTTTTGAAAGCTCAAACAGCAACACTCCCTATTTGTACAGAGCATATACGAGAAATAATGCCCAAGCAGTAGTAATCCAATAACAAAACATTTATACCAAGACAGAGCCGGACACCAGTTTAGTCTCTCTGAGTGTGTGTGTGTGTTTCTTTGTGTGTGTGTGTGTGTGTTCTCACGCACATAAAACCAACCAAAAACCTCTTGGTTCAATTAGAAAGCCCATTTTCAACTTCCTTTTTAAAGAAGCCTTTTCAAACTGTTGCAGGAATTTATGTACAGGTTGGTGGTGGGGGTTGTCCCTCCAGCAGATATCATGCACATGCAGCCCACTACCAAAATCAGCACAATCACTTTTGTGAGTTTTGCGATTTGTCCCCACAAAACACTTCATCACAGTTTCTTCCTAGCTATTCAAAGGGCCTTTGCTGCACGATACCAAATGTAACAATTCACTGATAAATGTATCTATGTACCGGCTCACTGGGAAAACTTCAGAAATTCATATAGACATGTGAGCTCAGCTACTCAGCCGCCCCTTTGCCTGAGTGATAATCCCTGGCCTCCTGATACAGTACCTGATTGCCAGACAGGTAGCCATTCAAGAAATAAAAAACCCCAGATGAAGACAAAAGGGTGTGATTAACTTGGCTGGGAAACAGGGAAATGTAAAGATCTCTTTTGTTACACTTGATGGGTGTTTGGTGGAGGGCAAGGAGAACCATAGGGCAGCATCCAGAATGCTCAGATTACTGCCACCAGACCTCCCCTTTCATGATGTAACCATGATGTATTAGTGATGTAGTTTGGGGGGGTGTAACATGGGGATTAGCAGCTAATAAAAGTTTGGGTTCTCTTTTGTTCGGGGCTTCCATCTTGTTCCACCTTGTGGCAGGTGGGAGTCCTGTCACGACAGTCTTCAATACAGACCAAGCCTACTGGCTGCTGTTTTGCTCTAGTATTCCTGGCTGGTGTCCTTGTTTTTTGTCCAAGGGAGCCTTCAGATTTTTCCGTTAACAAAACAGAAATCTGAACGAAGTCAAATAACTCCAATTTGTGACGCAGCTCCCTGCAATACCAAAAATTCTCTTTCTGTGTTAATTCTTTTTTTTTTTAAAAAAAAGAACAACAAGACTTTTCAGTGTTGCTTTCCTTCTCATTCAACTCTACTGTCTGTAATAAGAGCCTGAGCATTGACAGTAAGACACACAGGGGTTTCTGAACACACGCACCCGCAGTTTCGGAAGTCCGTGGAAAGTTATATTGCAGCTAAAATTGCCAACTGGCAAGCAGCCAGACATCCTTACTTAATAGGAAGGAGCTCAAAGACGTTTGGCATGTAGGCTACATTCAAAGCCTGCATTTTAGCTTAATTCACCAGAAGGAAATCTTCATGCTAATTATCCAGGATTAGATTCCTATGTATCAAAGAGACCATTTCCTCCCCTACGTAGCTAGGGTGTGCTATGAAAGGAGCTGGATTCTGATTAAACTCTCCTCTGAGCAGCAGGAAAGAAGGCAATGGCTACCTGCCCCCAGTTCCTGAAATGGCCATTTTAAAAGTGCAAATTTTTTTTTTGGCTTCATCAGCATGCTTTTGATTTTGTGTGTGTGCTTGTGTTCATTTTCTTCCCCAGCCTGCATGCTGCAGCTGGAAGTTAGACAGGAACAACGTCGTTTGTGGTCTGCAATCTAAGAAGTATGATTTGAATTTTTAGTTTCCGCTTCACCAGACACCTACAGACTTCAAGCACTAGAGGGAGGGGTGGTCCGTTGGCCTGTTCTTATGTTCTTAAATTATTTTCTCATTGAAGGCAGCAAAATCCCACAAGCACTGCACCCCTCTCTGGCAGTAAAAAAAATGCAACAACAAAACATTAAATACGGCAGCTAACTGTTTCCTTCCCTTTTATGACACCTAAAATCAGTTGCCTCACTCTGTCTATCAGGTGAAGTGTTTTTATTTTAAATGACTTTTAAAAAATAATAGTTAAAGCCTATTCAACTCTCAATAATTTTGCCTACAGTTCAAAGGGTGGGTTGGGCACGACAGTAATAGTAGTAGTTGTTGTAGTAGTAATTATAATAAATTATTTCTACCCTACCCATCTTGCTGGATTTCCCCAGCCACTCTGGGCAGCTTCCAACAAAAGATTAAAAATACATTAAAACATCAGTCATTAAAAACTTCCCTAAACGGGGCTGCTTTCAGATGTCTTCTAAATGTCATATAGTTGTTTATTTTTTTGACATCTGATTGGAGGGCGTTCCAAGTAATTTTAGCCAGCAAAATTTGTACAGAGTTCCTGTGAACAGAGGGAAATAAAATTTTCTCTTCCATTTAGGCCAACATGGGGAGAGAGAGAGAGAGGTGGTCACATTTTATTTTAAACAAGATGGTCTTTTTGACCTGGTCTTACTACAGGGAGTGATCTGAGCTTATGCCCCAGGGGGTCACAGGAAGATATTTTTAACTTTCTGACATTAAATAAAATGCTGCCATTTTTGGCAAAGGCTGAATATTATTTCCTCCTTACTGCTGAACATTACGCAGTATGCACACTTTTTTAGCTGAGTTTGGAGGAACGAATGGGAAGCTATTTATATATATCTTTATTATGCCTGCAATCCTGCACCCATTTAGATTGCTGAAATTGATTTAAATGGTCTGTTAAGCAGCCTAACTGTGCAAAGAATTGCAATTTCATGTATGTATGTATGCATGCATGTAATTTAAATCTTTCTAGGCTACCTCATAGGGAAAAGCCCTCTCAAGTTGGCTTACATGAAAAAAAAGAAAAGGGAGAAATAACACAATTGCAATAAAACACCATCGCGTTAAAACAGCAGTCAAAACATTTTATAAATGGCTTGGATGAAGGAATTGAGGGGATGCTCATCAAATTTGCAGATGACACCAAACTGGGAGGGGTAGCTAATGCTGCAGAAGGCAAAATCAGGATTCAAAATGACCGTAACAGATTGGAGAACTGGGTGCAAGCTAACAAAATGAATTTCAATAGGGACAAATGTAAGGTTCTGCACTTAGGCAGGAAGAACCAGATGCACAAATATAGGATGGGGGACACTTGGATTACTAGCAGTACATGTGAAAAGGATCTATGGGTCTTGGTGGACCACAAATTTAACATGAGTCAACAGTGTGATGCAGCAACAAAAAGAGCTAATGCTATTCTAGGCCGCATCAACGGAAGTATAGTGTCCAGATCAAGGGAAGTAATAGTACCACTCTATTCTGCCTTAGTCAGACCACACCTGGAATACTGTGTCCAATTGTGGGCACCACAATTTAAGAAGGATGTTGACAATCTGGAATGTGTGCAGAGGAGGGCAGCCAAGATGATCAAGGGTCTGGAAACTAAGCCTTATGAGGGGCACTTGAAGGAACTGGGTATGTTTAGTCTGGAAAAGAGGAGACTGAGAGGAGATATGATTGCCATCTTCAGATATCTTAAGGGCTGTCACGTGGAAGAGGGAGCATGCTTGTTTTCTCCTGCTCTGGAGGGTAGGACTCAAACCAATGGATTCAAGTTGCAAGAAAGGAGATTCCGACTAAACAATCGAAAAAACTTTCTGACAGTAGGAGCTGCTCAGCAGTGGAACAGACTCCCACGAGAGGTGGCGGACTTTCCTTCCTTGGAGGTTTTTAAACAGAGGTTGGATGGCCATCTGTCATGGATGCTTTAGCTGAGATTCCTGTATTGCAGGGGGTTGGACTAGATGACCCTTGGGGTCCCTTCCAACTCTCAGATTCTATTAAAAGCATGCCACACTCAATATAAAATTAATTCAAACAGCTAAAAAGAACAATTTAGAACCACCAGCTTAAAAACCAGCAGCAATATAGGCCATGAAAATGTCCCACCTGGCATACAGATTAAAAGCAAGCAAACAAACAAACAAAATACACAGGTTTTCAGGGTGCATTGAAATCCAGCAGTGATGGAGCCAATCATATGTATTTTGGGAGTCCCACAGATGCAACCACTGAAAAGGCCCTGTCTTTGGGGTCTGCCAATCTAGCAGATCTTATAGGGCTCTGCAATCAAGGCCTCTGAAGCTGACCTTAATGCCTGGGCAGGTTCATATGGATACATGCTGTGCTTCAAGAATGAAACCCATTTAGAATTCACAAAGGAAGAGGATGAGGATAAAACTAGAATTAGTTGGCTCTACTTGTCACTGAGGGACGCGGGTGGCGCTGTGGGTAAAAGCCTCAGCGCCTAGGGCTTGCCGATCGAAAGGTTGGCGGTTCGAATCCCCGCGGTGGGGTGCACTCCCGTTGCTCGGTCCCAGCGCCTGCCAACCTAGCAGTTCGAAAGCACCTCCGGGTGCAAGTAGATAAATAGGGACCGCTTACTAGCGGGAAGGTAAACGGTGTTTCCGTGTGCGGCTCTGGCTCGCCAGAGCAGCAATGTCACACTGGCCACGTGACCCGGAAGTGTCTCCAGACAGCGCTGGCCCCCGGCCTCTTGAGTGAGATGGGCGCACAACCCCAGAGTCTGTCAAGACTGGCCCGTACGGGCAGGGGTACCTTTACCTTTTTACTTGTCACTGGCTCTGGCTCCCCCTCCCAGATTCCTGCCCCACAAGCCTCAATGGGCACCAGCCACCCCTTAAGGCTGACAGGGGAAATATTATGAGGAGAAAGGGCCCTTCAAATACCCTGAGAGGCCCAGAAGCCCGCTTCCTTCTCTTCAGTTTCACTATACTATTTGCCAATATTCAGGAATGTCAGCTTGGGCCCGCGACTGTGGGTGCCTGGGGCTATGGGTGCCATGCACCTAAATTTGTGGGTGCACGGCCCTTTCATGGGAAATTTTGTGGGTGCTCAGGGGCCCAGGGAGTTGGCACCTATGCCAATATTGATTTGAGGCACACAGCAAGGCCTGGGGTCAGTTGCTCCCACTGCTCCCTAAATGGGGTCATTTGAAGGAGAGAAATGGGTGGCGATAAGAAAAGTTTAGTACCCCTCCCTTTTGCCTGCTGACCTTCCCTCATAAGTGTGCTAATTATCCTGGCAAATGCTAGGCCAGGGGTCCACAAGGTTTACCTCACCTGGGCTGGTTCACTCCCACAGAGATCGCTCTGTGGGCCAGATCGCGTCCGCGCAGACGCAATTTCTGGCGCTGCGGAAGTGAGTCCCCACTCTGCACTGTGCCGGTTTAGCGCAGCATGTGGGGACTCACCTAGCGGGTGGCTTGGTTTGGGGACTCATGGGCTGTTTAAACAACCCCCGTGGGCCGCTTGTGGCCCATGGACTGGAGGTTGCCGACCCCTGTGCTAGACATTACTTAGCGCAAGGGTGGGCACCCTAAGATGTTGTTGGGCAAACATGGCCAGGGATGTTGGGAGCTGTAGCCCAAGCCCAACCACATCTGCAGAGTCACAGGTTTTCCTCCCCAGGGATTTTTTTCCAGCTGGAACTCTCCAGAACTCAGTTCCGGCACCTCTCAGGTGGGCGCCATTACCATTCTAAGAGAACGAGGGAGGTCTTCATCATGAGTTATGGCCCCTCTTTTTCTAGAAAAATAGTACTGCCCAACCCTGATATAGCAAGTGCTACGAAGAAGCTAAGAAAGTGATGGGAAAATGCAGTTACAAGTGTGAGCTAGCACACTTGTGAATCAGAATGGATGCTCATTAAATATCCAGTGGTTTCTAATTAGGATGAACGCTCAAGAAACGGTTAGTCTGAAAGCTACCTAGGATAACTCCCAACTCTGCTCTCAGGTTTGAAAATCGACGGCTCTTCAAAGAAAGCAAATTATCTTTCTTGGTTTCACCAACCTAAATGCGTTTTGATGGTACAAAGCCATGAGGTACATTTTTTACTTTTAATAACAAACGTTTTCTACAACACAATGATTAAAAGAAAACTTACTTTCCTCCCCAGTAGAGTTTTGTTGTAATGACCAGACTTGACCTCCTAAACAAATAGAACACATAAAAATTGAAAAACAGGCCATTATTTCTTTTGCAACTGCACCCTTCCTAATACAGCCATGCCTGAAATTCATCCATAAAGAAGAAAGGGAAACAGCAATAGCTCTTACATATAAAAACTCTTCCACCAAAACTGTGCAGTTATAGAACAAGCTCTATACGGAAACTGACAGAATGTTGGCACTGTGACCCACACACACAAAGGGTGTGTACACATTACTGGTTTACAATGCAGCTAAGTCCTTATTTTTCTTAATTTGGTTTTGGACCAGGCATTGCAGGAAATGTCCAGGACCCTTGAATTGCCTTTGCCCTAGTCATTCCCAGGCCATAGCTGTCAACTTACAGATTTGAAAATAAGGGACCAGCAGCCTCGAAAATAAGGGATCAGCAGCCAAAATAAGGGATTTTAGTCAACCACCTGAAATACGAAGTTAAAAGGGACCAGATAATTTGGGAGAGCAGCGCCGGTTTTTAGCCCTTCGTTTCCAGAGGTTGCTGCTCAAGACACTAGCTGATGAAAAACTGCAATTAAATAACTACAAGCAGCCACCACTTTTCGCACAAAACAAAGTCCAAGCTACGAAGATGCTGCTGCAGTTCTGTATCTTTTCTCTCGTGCTCCATCTGCAGCTCACAGTTCCATCAGGCGGGGCAGGAGGAAGAGAGGGGAAAAAATAGTGCCCGAAGTAAACCCGCAGATCAGACCATCTATGCTCGTCTACCACTACAAATCTATGGGAGAAGCACTTGCGGTCCTTCCTCCGCTTTCCCCCTCTATGATTAGCCCTTGGAACACCTGCCCGCACCTCTGCCTCCTCCTCCTCCTCTCTCTGAACTGCTTTCTCTATGGTTGCCCGCGCTCTCCTCTCAAGGCTCCTCAGTCCCAGTGGGGAGGGGCTCCCGGGGGCCGAGGCTGGTGAGAGGAGGCCGGAGGGGGGCAGGCCGGGCACCCAAGCAACACAGTTGGAACTTCCCTCCTCCCTGGCTGGCAGGGAGGGAGGGAGGGAGAGGAGCTGCTTCCTTTGAAACCCGGGAAATTTAAGGGACATCATCAATAAGGGACAGCAGCGGGACACGGCACTGGGATAAGGGAGTTTCCCACCAAATAAGGGACGGTTGACAGCTATGTCCCAGGCCGGCTGCTTCTTCCACATAACACCAGCAAAGAGCAACTTGGAGGAGGTTAAGCAGCCTGAAAAGTAGAAGAATCTCAATACTAGCCTAGTGTTGGCTTGTTTTGTGGGCAGGTTTGCCAAGCCTTTGTAAAGCAAAGGCCCAAGATTCAGAGTAGCTCTGTAAGTCCTGATTTAGTAGTCCCAATTCCACCATTGCATACCAAGAATTGAATGCTTAAATCTTTACATTACCTCCAGCCTTTCTTTTTTATTATGCTTCCCAAAATCACCTCGGCCCTGTGGGAGGAATAAAAAAACCCAGATGCACCATTCGGAAGAAATGTTTTTGGACATAGCAGTATGGTACCACACTCGTTTATCGTTTTATGCTACCTGTTACAGGTCTATTTATTGCATTCAGTTGTTCATTCATTCACAATATCAGTGCTTGAGTTATTTGCACAATTTCATTGCAAGTCAGCATTGATGCTGCTTTGAAAGAATACATCTGCTCCGCACTGTGTGTATAGGCACTTCAGAGCTTAAAGGATAACCAACAATAGCTAGTCTTGATGCTACTTGGTAGATGTCTTCTAAATCAGGGATGGAGAACCTGCAGCCCTCCAGATATTGTTGGACTTCAACTCCCACCAGCCTCAGCTAGCATTGCCAGTGATCAGGGATGATGGGAGTTTTCGACACATCACAGGAGGAACCAGCTTGGCTTAATTAGCGCTTGACACTTGTTGATCACATGATTTAGAAGTGTCTACTACACAGCTTCAATACACATGGGTCTGGCCTAATACACATGAGTCTAATACACAGGGTCTAGCTATGTTTTAGCACTCCTGGACTTAATTAAATTCTAGTACCCACTGGATACAGGTATTTAAGGGTGTCTAGCACCTGCAACTCATAACAATATTTATGCATGATGGAATAATTTATTTATTTTAAAAAAACCCAGAACACAATTGAAATATTCAGCTGAGAAATTAGCACATCAACACATGGTAGAAATTAGACGGCCATAGGGCCATTTTATCCTAATGCCCCTTGTTACTCATGCACATTTGCTAGATTCTTCTGTTCTGCCCAGGTGTTGCAGCAGAGCTGCAAGTTAGTTTCTTTAACTGGAAGCAACAAAGTAAGCACAGATACTTACTTTCCAGCTGCGTACACCTCGGCTGTGTCAAACAGGTTTACTCCACTCTCGTACGCGATAGTCATGAGCTGTTCCGCAATCTTTGGGAAAGGGAAGACATGACATTAGTCCTAGAGAACACGAAAGGTAGCATCACCTTCTACTGCACTGTGCTACAGAAACTATCCATAATAGAGCATGGGTTTGCAGAGAGAAGGACCAAGGAACTTCACCCAAACCAAACCCCAATTTTTAAACCATAGAGAATGGACCAGGGGTATTGCAACACAGGAAAGAGAACTGCTGCTGCTTCGACTGCCACTTCCCATTTACTCAGTAGTGGCTGGTGTTCATTTGGACAGACAGAGCCAACTAGCTATGGTTCGTCCCCTCTTCCTTGCTGCTGAAGTCTACATGGCCCACACTGAGACTAAGGAGCAGGAAGCTGACAGGTAGAACTACGGTACCCCCTGGAGTGGTTCCCAGTAAGAAGGTGGGAAGTGGGGGCTGGCGAGAGCAGACTGAAGTGGGTGGGGCAGCACCCCATTCACCCTAAGGAACCAGCCTCCGCTGCAATTGTCACCCCCCCAAAAAAGTAAGAAGCATCAGTGCTGATTACAGAATTCAGGAATCTTTCACACAATCTGAGGCTCAGACACACCATCCTGAGATTCAGAGTCCTTTGTGTTTTGAAGACACAAAGTAAATTTGGCCTTTGCAGCAAAGCAAAAATAGTATATATCCATGTTTATTTCCACAGTTTCATGTTGGGCAGTCAAGTAGACATTTGAAAAACCAAGCATTAGCAGCCACAGCAGTAATTACAGATGCCACAAATGGTTATGATTTATTTTGCAAGCCTATTTAGGACCGGCTATGATGATGCCAGCTAGCATAGCTGAATCAGCGTTGCCATTATATGAAGTACAATGCTCAGGGGATTGAAGAAACTTGACCATTGCAATAACGATGATGAAATAGTTGGTCAGAAGGAAATTATGAAAACCAGGCTGCTTGTTTTATAGTTGCATCAAAACGGTGTCTTGTTTTAGCGGCAGGAAAGGCAAACTTAAAGGACCATTTAAAACGATTACAAATCTCTCCATTGCAGGTGAAAGGCAATTACTATAAGGAATGTGCATACTACATCCAGCATTTTTGAAGCGCTTCCCTTATAAGAGTTTTATTCTGGGACTGGTGCCATCTCTTCCCATTGTTACAATCAGGCCCCATCTGCAGTGTTGTATCCGACAGTTATAGAAATCTGGGAAGTGTAGCAGAGCTACAATACTCAAAATTCCCTGGGAAAATGGAGTGGTCGTTACTCAGATAACTGAAGCTCTGTGAGGGGAATGTTGTTGTTTAGTCGTGTCCGACTCTTCGTGACCCCATGGACCAGAGCACGCCAGGCACTCCTGTCTTCCACTGCCTCCCACGGTTTGGTCAAACTCATGCTGGTAGCTTTGAGAACACTGTCCAACCATCTCATCCTCTGTCGTCCCCTTCTCCTTGTGCCCTCAATCTTTCCCAACATCAGGGTCTTTTCCAGGGAGTCTTCTCTTCTCATGAGGTGGCCAAAGTATTGGACCCTCAGCTTCAGGATCTGTCCTTCCAGTGAGCACTCAGGGCTGATTTCCTTAAGAATGGATAGGTTTGATCTTCTTGTAGTCCATGGGACTCTCAAGAGTCTCCTCCAGCACCATAATTCAAAAGCATCAATTCTTCAGCGATCAGCCTTCTTGATGGTCCAGCTCTCACTTCCATACATCACTACTGGGAAAACCATAGCTTTAACTATATGGACCTTTGTTGGTAGGGTGATGTCTCTACTTTTTAAGATGCTGTCTAGGTTTGTCATTGAGGGGAATAGGGGTGTCCAAACCACTCTTAACACTCATAACAAACTACAGCTCCCAGGATTCATTGGGGGAAGCCATGACAGTTTAAAGGAGTATGATACTGCTTTAAATGTAAAGTGCAGATAGGAGCCTAAAACTAGCCTGACCTACTAAGCCAAAATCAGCCTCTCTCTTGCTCACCGTAAGCAAGATAAACCCATGTGGTTTTTGCCCGAAGGCATGGCAGCAAAGCTCTCCCAAGCTGGGCTCAGAATCAAACTTAGGAATACTGGAAAGCCAGATGCAAAATGAAATGTGCCTTTTCAAAGCTCCAAACTTTCTTGCTTGCTTGGATCAAAAAAGAAGTCCTGGCTCCTCACCTGTCTCCAACATCTTCCAATCCCCCCCAGCACCCACAGGTCCCAAACACATTCTCTGGTCCCTCGCTTCTTTGTTGGCAGTTCCACAGGTATGGTGACAATGGCAACCAAAGAGGCAAAATGGAAACTTTCTCCCACCCTATTCACTGTTGCTCAGACTGAGTGATGTTGTGATCAGGGTTTGGGGACTGGATCCAGCCAGCAGGACTGATTCTTATTTCCTCCCTTGGTGGCTGGTTGGGACCAAACACCTGTCAGTTATCATAGAGCCATAGCATTGTGGAGTTGGAAGGGTCCTTTAGTCCAACCCCCATGCAATGCCTGATGTCACCATGACCCAGAAAATCCAGGGTGGGGGAAATCGCGGTTCATTTCAAGGAAAGTAATGCAGGGCTCCTCAAGGGCTGTCAATTCATTCCTTTATTTCACAACGTCTGGCTAACTGGGCTGCAACTGGAATGAGGAGTCCCAGGTACATTTGCAGAGCTGGTTGTACCAGTAAGCAGGGTGAGTTAGTCCACCTCAGAGATATCACTAGAGGAGTGTTGTGTTCCAAAAGCAAGGAAGGATTGGACTCTGATTAATAAAATATACACGAGGCTTGACCAGCAAGACTCTGGGAGGAAGTGCCAATAATAATCCGTCCACACCTTGGCCCAGGTCGTTTTATTCACAAAAGAACTTTTTACACAGTGTTCGTAAGAACCAATCAGATTTCCTCTGAGCGTTTAAAAAAAACCCATGTGGGACAAAGTCAGATCAGAAGAAATCCTTTTAACTACAAAAGACGACTTTGAGCATGCATACATATCTGAGAGTAAATAAAACAGGACTAAAGGAGGAATGCATTCAGCAAAACCCTGGAGGTCATAAACCGGCAGAAAAGGAAGGAAGGATGGCAAGGGAAGAGTATTTACCATCTCCTTGTGAACTCTCTTCCTGGCCCTTAAGATCTACCTAAAGATTAACAAACTACATCAAAGCTACCTTCTATCTTTATGACCCAGGATGCCTGGTGAAGCAACTGGCCTGTGTTTCGAATGCTTATACGTGCCTGTCAGGCATAGAGAAAGAAAATGGCAGAGGTGCAGAGAGTTGTGGGATTTGATCAGAAATTATTGTCAACGAATCAAACCCAGTCAACGCAATGCTTTCATTGCGGACACAATGGCTTGCTCCATATTTCATAATTCCTCATAGCAATCCCACCTGACCCCCACACTCTGGATATTTGCACCCCCACATCGGAGCAGAAAACGGTCTGTTTTGTATTTATTATTCTTTCTTTATCATCATGACAACACCATGTTGATTTTCTGCCTCAGGTGCCAAGACTATTCTTGGGCTAAGTGTCTCTTAGGGATGTTTTCAGCTGAATCACAATCACTTCAGTTAGGTCTGCAGCTGATCTCCCAGAAGGCAAAGTTACAGAGAAAGCGCTCGTTATTTCTGTTGCCAAACACAGCCTTCATTAACTTGGTGGCTTCTAAGTGTCTTGGACTACAATTCCCATCAGCCTCAGCCAGCTGGCTGGGGCTGATGGGAGTTGTAGTTCAAAATGTTTGAAGTCTATCAGGTTGGTGAAGGCTGGCGTCACTCTTAAAACTTAGACATACCAGCCTGCAGGTGACAAAGTGCTTGTAAAAGTCATTTGTGGCTGCCTAAGATTTTGGCACTTTATTTCACTCCCTGCAGCATTTCCTCCTGTCACAGTGTTCCACTTATTGGATTAGTCCCGTAATCAGTCATTGTCTTTCCCCACTGCATATAACCTCTCTTATATGCAGCAAATAAAATAAGCCTTAGACAATTTGTGGAAGGAAAAGAAATATCTCCATGTAGCAGGGTTTCCCCCCTTGCCATTCTCCTGAATTTAAATGTTCTTCAAATGGCACTTCCGTGTCACTATTGCTTCTTTGAAATATTTTAAAATATTGATCAGAAGAAGATAGCTTAACTATAGGAGATGACAGGGAAAACTCATTCTTAAATGCCTTTTTTTTTTTTTTACACCTCTAGTAAAGGCTTAAAATTGGGGGTTGACAGGCCTTTAGTGCATTGATTGGTCACATTAAATAAAATTGCATGTTGCCGAACATCAATACAGGTGCCTTGTTTAAGGACTCTGAAGGAAAGTAATTTCCTCTTAAGGGAATGTGCTACCATAATGCCCTTGGTGAAGCCTTCATTTTAGTCCATTACGATATTGGCATAACCAAAGAACTGCATCAGGGGAAACAGCCTCTCAGTCACCTTCTGTGTTTCTGGCCTTTTACCTTATCTGCTGGGGTGGAATCACCAGGAAGACTGCACTGTAATAATGATAAGAATAAAACTATCTGGCTGCAAAAGATTGTGTCTTTGATCTACAGAGGCAAGTTCTCTTTAGAGTGGGTGCCAAAAGCTTGAGTTTGACAAATGTTATGGTTTAATTAGAAATTGCATGTTGGCACCAGGAATAGCCAGACCCAAGTATATGCTAGGGGTAGTCAGAGGTGTGATGGACTCACTGATAAGCCTCTGTAAAAATGCTAGTTAATTAGGTATACTTCCTGGGTTGTGTGTTGGACATTGTCATCCTAGCCAAATCAGCAAGTGTTAGAAAGACTTCTTTGTGAGGTGACCTCCTGGGGTGGGGGATAAACAATTAGGGGGTTCAGAGCATCAAAATATTAGGTGTTCACACAACACAGGATCAAAGGATGTGAGAATGCAAATGTGAGGCATCTCCCTGTGTTAGAAAAGGAAAGCCTAGCCCTAGAAGCTATGGAGTGTGAGCCAGGAATGATGGAACCAGGAAGCAGAGAGGTTAAGCTGGGATGTTCCCTGCAGAGCAAGAGAGGTTGCAAAGAAGGGATGCTGATGCTCCTACTATGGAATAAGCTGGCGTGTTTTGGGGTGCTGTTGCTGCTGCTAGCCCCTCTGTTGAAGGCTCTAGGTTGCATGTATATGTAAATAAACCATATGTCATAAAGACACTATAGCCTCAATTGTACCTAATTTTCCAAAAGAAACACAAACCCTGCGTGAGCGCCTGAAGTCTCACATACCGCTCAGCTGAGACTGAGGCAATTCGTAACAGGTATAAATTAAAAGGATAAGCAGAACAATGGAAACTCATCCCAAGTGTCCTGTAAAACCAGGAAACAGTTTTATAAAATAGCATGGACTTAGTTCACTAAATTAGCTCATAGGATGGAATCAATTCAATAATTTTTGTAAAGGTGTAAATTTAAATTTGGCAATAATAATAATAATAATGGCAGCTATATATCTCCAATGCTGCTGCTACAGAGCCTATTAACTACACATTCCCCACTTCTTGTCACCATTATTAGAAATCATTGCGAGGGCTTCTCAGCGGCACAATTTATTTCACCAACACTTGCAGGCACAGTTTCTTTTCTCCATTGCTACGCAGTGCTCTGCCACTCTTCATTTTTGCAGCCGAGCAGGCTTATTTTGGAAAACAACATAGGGCTCTAATCTACATGTGTCCCAAAGGAGACACTGAATAGTGGAGTGAATGCTCCAATGGACTGGAATATTCCCACTACGGGGAACATCTGCCAGAATTCTGCAGGGGTCTTCAAAGGGCTCTTGTAAGTTGCACAGTGTTGAAGTGCTAATGCTCTGATTTTAAAAGAAATAGGGCCTATACATTCTATACATGTGTACTCAGAGGTCCTAGTATGTTCAGTGGGGCCTACTCCCCACTGTTAAGATTGCAACAACAATGGCAGGAATTGTGCTTAGAGCAAAAAATAAATGACAAATTCCCCTATTCTGAATACGATTTCTTTGTTTTGGTTGCTTTTCAGATACAAGTGAGTTCTGAAGCTGCGCTGATTATTGAGTAGAGCAGTCAGGAGAGGCAGCTGTGTGTTGCTTTATTTTAATCACTCATCTAAGTGACCCTCAGGGACACGGGTGTCTCTGTGGGTTAAACCACAGAGCCTAGGATTTGCCGATCGGAAGGTCGGTGGTTCGAATCCCCGCGATGGGGTGAGCTCCCGTTGCTCGGTCCCAGCTCCTGCCAACCTAGCAGTTCGAAAGCACGTCAAAGTCCAAGTAGATAAATAGGTACTGCTCTGGCGGGAAGGTAAACAGCGTTTCCGTACACTGTTCTGGTTCGCCAGAAGCGGCTTAGTCATTCTGGCCACATGACCCGGAAGCTGTACGCCGGCTCCCTCATCCAATAAAGCGAGATGAGCGCCGCAACCCCAGAGTCGGTCACGACTGGACCTAATGGTCAGGGGTCCCTTTACCTTTACTAAGTGACCCTCAAAACACAGAACCCACCATCCAAATCTCCAAGGCACTTCTAAAGTCTTTGGGAAGCACTGTGTCTCTCAACAGGAGTTGCACCAGGGAGTAAAGTCCAGAATATTTGGGAGAGCACAGACCTTGGCCCTTCCTTAATATTTGCCATGTTGCAATGAAATACACATGAAAACCCACCCAGCATTCTTTTGGGGGGAGTGCTCCCCAAAGAAGGAACTTATCCCTACTGGCCCCCAATTGTTGGACTCATTAATACACACTGCTATTTTTCTTTCAGAGATTTAAGAAGTCACCCAACTAGAAATATACAGTGGTACCTCGGGTTACAGATGCTTCAGGTTACAGACGCTTCAGGTTACAGACTCCGCTAACCCAGGAGTAGTACCTTGGGTTAAGACCTTTACCTCAGGATGAGAATAGAAATCGTGCAGTGGCAGCGGGAGGCTCCATTAGTTAAAGTGGTACCTCAGGTTAAGAACAGTTTCAGGTTAAGAATGGACCTCCGGAACGAATTAAGTTCTTAATCTGAGGTACCACTGTACTTTGCTCATTCTGTACCCTGCCTGATGTCCGCCACCACTGCCAGCAAGGCCAGCGGTCAGGAAAGATGGGAGAAACATCTGGAAGGCTGCATATCCCCTATGCTTGCTTTAGTGATACACAGCTGGAATACTGATGGGGGCAAGCACCTTTCATGTGTCCAGCACACCATTTTGAAATACTGCAGAAGCAGGGCCAGCGTAAGGGATTATGTGAAGGACAGATGTTCCCCTTTCTTGGTGGACAGCAGCCAACTAGATTGGCAGTTACTCTCACTTGTCACACATCTGAAGCAGCAAGCCAGGTTAGGAGGGGCAGGATAAGCTGTGCAGCATACTCAGCTCTGTCCTCTAGCACGTTGCCACCCGCCGAAAGATCTGCTTAGCAGCCTCTCCCACCCCGAGCCCAGAAAAGTCCCCTCATAGGTCTTCTCCCTTATAACCTCCCTTCAGCTCATGTTCAAGCAAGAAGGACAAGTTTTAAAACCTGAAACCTGAAACCCATGTATTTACTAGCTTGGAGTAGCTATCAAATGTCAACAACTTGGACCCTGTTGCCCACCATCACGGGCCGATGTCATGGAGAGAAAAAGAGTCCAGTTTTGGCAAGCCAACCTTACAACGCGAATGTAAGAAATGGGCAGCGCAATCCTGCTGAGAAATGTTCCATTGAATTCAATGGGACTCACTCCCAGGAAAAATAATAATCTAGGATTGTAGCCTCTTAACCACTGTTTTAGCATAACATAGAGAACATAGAAAGGTGTGGAGAGGAGTGCCTAAGAAACAACGAAGATAATACCATGTTATCTGTGTAACCAAACACTACTGGGGATATGTTGCCAGTAGGAGAGGTCTTGTGTTCATAGTAATTTGTAGCTGGTGCCTGAGGTTATCGACTGAGCCCATGTTGGAGCTGAATTGTGAATCAGGTCTGCTAAGCTCAGAACTCACACTCCTCACTGCCCTGACCTCAAAATGTATTCTTCATATCCCTGTCAGTGGTCCACAGGTGTCTTTTCTTTTCAGGAACATGTTTAAAAAGGTATTTTAATTGGATCGCAGAGCCATTTAATGCCAGAGGTGCTGTCCATTAAATTCCAGGTTCTGAAAACATGTTCTGAAGTGCAAGAAAAGCACAAATCCCTTTTCTTTTACGTATGATCATTCCTGTTGCCGGAATGGACTCTGTACATTCTGTCATCTGCGGTTTGCCTTTTAATTAAAAAGACATATAAGAAATAAGACGCAGCCAAATCTCTTTTTTTTTTTTTTGCAAGTTGTAGTTAAATGAAACTTTGCTTACCTCGTCTGAAATTTGACCTCCAAACGTGACCCACGTCCCTAGGAAGAAACACAGTGATTTGTTACTCTTTAGGGCTTTCCTTTAATATATGAAACACATAATAATTAGGAAATTTTCCCTCAGAGAATCTCCCCAAGCTGATTTGTTCGACGAGCTCTTTCCTAATGAGAATGTACTCCAAGGATGTTGAATGCTTTCAATTTAATTGCCTGACAAGCGACAGTGGCCGGGTTTCCGTTACTTAAACAGCCTTGTCATAGCTAGGTAGGGATTTCTCCTTTCTGAATAGGACATGGATGAAATGTTTCGATAGGAAGAGATTACAGTCAGTGAATGCACCGCTCCTGTTAGCAATTATGGGTAAGTCAGTATGAAAAAGAGCCCATGGTGCAGCTAGAAGCTAGATTTGATCAGACATCCGCTCCACATGGCAGTTCCCACATTAACTGCTCTGCGCAGAATTTCTGAATAGGCGCAAGTCAAGCTCACTTAATTCAGTTTGCAGCGCAGTCCTCTACATGCCTTGTTAGGAGCAAACCCCACTGAGTTCAATGGGGTTTACTCACAGGTGAGAGAGTGCAAAAGCAAGCCTTCCCCTTCATAGCAACCTCTGAATGTTTTGGAGTACAACATCCTTCAGTCCCAGCCAGCACCCAGTCAGCTCCCAACAGCACATTGAGGTCATGGATGTTGTAGTGTAAAAGGTCAGAAGAAGGTTAAACCACAGAGCCTAGGACTTGCCGATCAGAAGGTCAGCGGTTTGAATCCCCGCGACGGGGTGAGCTCCCGTTGCTCAGTCCCAGCTCCTGCCCACCCAGCAGTTCGAAAGCACATCAAAGTGCAAATAGATAAATACAGTGGTGCCTCGCAAGACGAAATTAATTCGTTCCGCAAGTTTTTTCTTCTTGCGAGTTTTTCGTCTTGCGAAGCACGGTTTCCCATAGGAATGCATTGAAAATCAATTAATGTGTTCCTAGGGAAACCGCTTGCCAGGCTGGCGGTGCGGAGAAGGGCTTTTCTCCCCACCGCAAGCCTTCAGGACAGGTACGGGAACAGAGGGGAAGGCGCGCAGCGCTTTCCCTCTGTTCCCGGGGCTTGCGTGGGAGGAGGGTTTTTCCTCCCCACCGCCAACATTCAGAACAGCATTCTGAATGTTGGCGGTGGGAAGGAAAACCCTCCTCCCACCCCAAGTCTTCAGGAAAGCCATCCGAAGCCGGGCGGCGGGAGAAGGTGTCCCCACCCCGCCGCCCGGCTTCGGAGCTTTGTTCCGATGCCGGGCGGCGGGAGGAGGCGTCCCCGCCCCGCCGCCTGGCTTCGGAGCTTCGTTCCGATGCCGGGCGGCGGGAGGAGGCGTTCCCGCCCCGTCGCCCGGCTTCGTAGCTTCGTTCCGATGCCGGGTGGCGGGAGAAGGCGTTCCCGCCCCGCCGCCCGGCATCGGAGCTTCGTTCCGATGCCGGGCGGCAGGAGAAGGTGTCACCGCCCCGCCGCCCGGCTTCGAAGCATCGTTCCAAAGCCGGGCGGCGGGAGGAGGTCCGAGGACAGTGGGGAAGACGCGCTGCGCTTCCCCGCTGTCCCGGAGAATTCCCTAGGGGCTTTCGTCTTGCGAAGCAAGCCCATAGGGAAATTCGTTTTGCGAAGCGCCTCCAAAACGGAAAACCCTTTCGTCTAGCGGGTTTTCTGTCTTGCGAGGCGTTCGTCTTGCGGGGTACCACTGTAGGTACCACTCTGGCAGGAAGGTAAACGGCATTTCCGTGCGCTGCTCTGGTTCGCCAGAAGCAGCTTAGTCATGCTGGCCACATGACCTGGAAGCTGTACGCCGGCTCCCTCGGCCAGTAAAGCGAGATGAGCATCGCAACCCCAGAGTTGGCCACGACTGGACCTAATGGTCAGGGGTCCCTTTACCTTTTAAGGATTGAGTCATGGAGCCCTATCGGTCAGTTTATGCGAGTGAAAACTTCAAGAACATACTTGCAGCAGTTACACAGCTGGCTTCTGTATGTGCCGCTAGATCTGCAATCAGCCATTACAGATTAATTTTACTCTGGTAGGTGGGTGGGTGGGGGGAGAGTATGATCTTGTATCCGATAACTCAGCTAGTAGAGAGAGCAGGATGTCGTGACGATGCATAGTTCCTGCCAGCGCTCATTGCCACCAGCTGTAGAGAGATAATACCCTGGGATTTGAAAAACCTAACTAGAGCTTGGATTATGCATATCATTGCATTGTAGGCAACATTAAACCTATTCAGGCACTGTGGAGAAAAAATATATACGTTGATAAACAGGCAAGGGAGAAGGGCAGGCCCATACACACTCACCCGACAAAGCCCCACGCTCAGGCTTAAGCAATAGAGAAAGATTGAAGTTCTTCATGAGAGCCTCATTCTCTGGCAGGGGCAGCAGGAAGCCAATTGCTGCCTGTTGTGTCTTTCCTGCCCCCCCCCAGCTGTCAACTTTTGGATTTGAAAATAAGGGATCAGCAGCCTCACCTGTCCCAGAGACAGTCTACAGCAGCCTTTCTCAACCTGTGGGTCCCCAGATGTTGTTGAACTACAACTCCCATCACCGCTAGCTAGCAAGGCCAGAGCTCAGGAATGATGGGAGTTGTAGTCCAACGACATCTGGGGACCCACAGGTTGAGAACCGCTGGTCTATGGGATATCTAACACTCCAGGATAGCAGCGGGAAGCAGCAGGAAACGGCGCTGAAATAAGGGGATTTCCTGCAAAAAAGGAAAGGTTGACAGCTATGCCCCACCCCCCGCCAGCCACATACTGTACTGTGGTGAAGTCTATGGTGGGGAGTACAGCAATGGTGGATAAACTTGGTGCGGCTTGCCTTTCAGTGAGAACCCACCTAATGTGCACTTCCTAAACCATTATGTGAATTGAAACTCAGTTGGTTAGAGCATGGCATTGGTAACATGAAGGTTGCAGGTTCGATCCCTTATGGCAGAGGTTTTCAACCTTTTTTGAGTCCACGGCTCCCTTGACCAACTGCATTCTTACTGTGGCACCCCTGTGGGGCTCAGGAGCCCAGTTATGCCACCCCTTGCCTGCAGAGCTGGCAACCTCTCACCCTTTTCAAACCCTTGTGGAGTGTTCCCTCAGCTGCTTCTCCTTTCCCCTCTCCTTGGGAGTCCTCTGGGCAGCTGCTGCTGCCATCCCTGGTCTTGAAGAAGAAGAAGAAGAGTTTGGATTTGATATCCCGCTTTATCGCTACCCGAAGGAGTCTCAAAGCGGCTAACATTCTCCTTTCCCTTCCTCCCCCACAAGAAACACTCTGTGAGGTGAGTGGGGCTGAGAGACTTCAAAGAAGTGTGACTGGCCCAAGGTCACCCAGCAGCTGCATGTGGAGGAGCGGAGACGCGAACCCGGATCCCCAGATTACGAGACTACCGCTCTTAATCACCACACCACACTGGCTTTCCTCTCCTCCCCACCACAAAGAGAGGTCACTGTGGAGCTTATAGCCAGGGCTGGTGCAATAAACAGCTGTGCAAGCCTTTGGGAGGCGGAGATGCGAGAGGACATCAGAGGGAGGGAGGGAAGGAAAGAGGGACAGAGGCCAGTGTTGTCCGCAGCACCCCTGAATATCATTCAAGGCACCCCAGGGTGTCACAGCACAGCTGCACTTTCCTGCATTGCAAGGGTTTAGACGAGATGATCCTCAGGGTCCCTTCCAACTCTAGAATTCTTTAAAAGACAGCTATTTTCAGAAATTCACATTTCTCTGAATTTTGTGATGCAATTCTCCAACCCATAAAACCCCCCAACATACAAAAGTGTATATGTTAGAATAAAGTGTGCCTAAGAATTGGCGAAAATAACAGCAATGCATTGTAATAGGGAGAAATGCTGCGGGGGGGGGGATATTTTGGGCAAAATTGTATACAAAAATACTGTGTCTTAAGAAAAATGCGTTCTGGAATGTAGATTAATGTTAATGAGGATGTCCTCCCCACAAAAGTTTACAAACAGATGTGGAAAGGTGGCAAACTGAACTTATGATTGGGAAAAATGAGAAACGGAGAAAAACTGAAATTGACGTATGTGATGAGCAGACTTGTGCAGTCAGGGATCTACATTTGGGGGGAAGTCTACATGCACAGAGCAGGGTTCCCTTGTGTCCCCCAAATAGTAAATGGGGTGAGGGGAGGTCAGCATAGATGTGGCAACAGGGGCCGGATCAGCAGACACAGCCCTCTTCTCTCGTCCGCAATATTGCAATCATGTGTGAAGGGGAATACATAGTTAACCTTAATTCTAGATGTAACTCTTGCTTCATGGTGTCAAGATGAGTTTCGAGATTTCTGAAACCTCTCATCAAACATTAAGGTCATCATCCACTGAGAAGTTCTCCCGTCTAGGCCCCATGAGAATGATTGAGAGCTGTGCAAGATCATGCAAAGTTCGCAACAGCTAATGGCACAATCATTCTGTTCATCTTTAAAGGTTCTGTGTTTGTTTTCCAGTAATGGATTAACCCAGCAACCTCCCTGGTAGTGAAAAGTGAAAAGTGAGTGTGAGAATGAGTTTTAAAATGAACCTGTCTGCAATGTAGAAGAATACTATTTTTCTCCTTAGTATTTTTCTTACTTCTCTTTATTATTTTAAATCCTTTTTGCGCTTTAAAAAGTCCTATCACACACAAAAATCTCTCACCTGGAGCAAGCATTTTTTTTGGCGATTTTGACAGTTGGGACAAAGTTGTGCGTTCTGTTGTTCAAGTTTGCCAACCAGTGCCCTAGTCATTTGTTAAGGGGTATCCTTTACAGGTATGCAATATGCTAGTAATTCTCTCGCTGTGTGATCTATCTATCTACCATATTTTTCGCTCCATAAGACACACTTTTTCCCTCCTAAAAAGTAAGGGGAAATGTGTGTGCGTCTTATGGAGCGAATGCAGGCAGGAGGCTCTGCTCAGCGCTCACTTTAAAGAGCCGCGTGGAGCGTGTGTGTGGCTTTTGGGGGTTTTTCCCCAAGGAGGGAGAAGGGACTGACGGGCTGCCCTCTGTCCCTTCCCCCACCTCCCGGAGA